GACTGGGCATCATTTCTGTTGTGCATACAGGTCACTGAGTTGGAGTGGACTCAATGGCAGCTATTTATCTATCTAGTTAGAATAGTTGTTGTTCAGTGCCGTCGAGTCAGCTCCAACTCATAGCAACCTTGTGTACAATAGAACAAAACAGTGCTCAGTCCTGTGCCAACCTCACAATCCTTGCTATCCCTGAGCCCATCATTGCAGCCACTGTGTCTCCCATCTCATTGAGGGCCTTCTCCTTTTTTGTTGACCTTCCACTTTACCAAGCATGATATTCTTCTCCAGGGAATGGTCCCTCTGACAACATGACCAAAGTAGGCACTGGTCATTCTGTCTTCCAAGGGGCATTCTGGTTACACTTCTTCCAGGACATACTTGTTAGTTCTTCTGACAGTCCATAGTACTTTCAGTATATTTAACCAGCACCACAACTCAAAAACATCAACTCTTCTTCAGTCTTCCTTATTCATTGTCCAGCTTTCACATGCATTTGAGGCAATTGGAAATACCATGGCTTGGGTTAGGCGCACCTTGGTCTTCAAAGAGACATCTTTGCTCTTCAGCACTTGAAAGAGGTCTTCTGCAGCAGATTTGCCCAGAGCAATATGTCATCTGATTTCTTGACTGCTGCTTCCATTGGTGTTTATTGTGGAGCCAAGTAATATGAAATCTTTTGACAACTTCAATCTTTTCTCCATTTACCATGATGGTGCTTATTGGTCCAGTTGTGGGGATTTACATTTTATGTTGTGGTGTAATCCATACTGAAGACTATACCCTTTCATCTTTATCAGTAAGTGCTTCAAGTTATCTTTACTTTCAGCAAACAAGGATGTATCATCTGAATATTACAGGTTGTTAATGAGTCTCCCTCCGATCCTGATGCCACGTTCTTCTTCATATAGTCCAGCTTTTCAGATTATTTGCTCAGCATACAGATTGAATAAGTATAGTGAAATGATACAACTCTGACATAGTCCCTTCCTGATTTTAAACCATGTGGTATCTCCCTGTACTGTTCTAATGACAGCCTCCTGGTCTACATACAGGTTCCTGATGAGCACATTTAAGTGTTCTAAAATTCCCATTCTTCTCAATATTATCCATAATTTGTTATGATCCACACAATTGAATGCTTTTGCATCGTCAATAAAACACAAGTAAACCTCTTTCTGGTGTTCTTTGCTTTCAGCCAAGATCCATCTGACATCAGCAATGCTATTCTTTGTCCTTCATCCTCTTCTGAATCAACTTGCATTTCTGGAAGTTTCCCATCAAAATACTGCTGCAATTATTTTTTAATTATCTTCAGCAAGATTTTACTTGCATGTGATGTTAATGATGTTTGATAATTCCACATTCTGTGGGATCACCTTTCTTTGGAATGGGTACAAATATGAATCTCTTCCAGTGAGTTGGCCAGATAGCAGTCTTCCAAATTTCTTGGCACAGACAAGTAAGTGTCTGCAGCACAGCATCTGTTTGTTGAAACATCTCAGTGGATATTCCATCAACTCCTGGAGCCTTGTTTTTCACCAGTTCCTGCAGTGCAGCTTCAACTTCTTCCTTCAGTACCATTGGTTCTTGATCACCTATCTAGTTAGAAAACTCAGCAATTGCAAAAAAGTAAAGAAAGATACTAACTCCGGTGAACAAACTTGTAAGAGAAAGAAAATGTAATAATAGTTTACTAGTATTAAGAACAATGTTTATTTATTTAGTCCATAATATAAGCGCTTGATTCAACTATGTATCATGAGGATAAAACCAGTTGGAGTTGAGCCAGTTCTAACTCATGTTACCTGCCATCGAGTCGGACTCGACTCATAGTGACCCCTCCTTGGGTTGCCGAAGCAGTATCACTACAGAAGTAGATTGCCCAACCTTCCTTCTGAGGAGTGACTGGTGGGTTTGAACCGCCAGCCTTCTGGTTAGCAGTCAAGTGCCTTAGGCACTATGCTACCAGAGCTCCTTCTGACTCATGGCAACCCTGTATATATCAGAGTAGAACTGTGCTTCATAGGGTTTTCAGGGCTGAGGTTTTGGAAGTAGATCACTGGAGCTTCCTTCTGAGGTGCCTCTGGGTGGACTCAACCCTTCAGCCTTTTGGTTAGCAGCCAAGCCAAGCACATTAACCATTTGCACCTGCCAGGGCTTCTGTTGTGAGGATGAAAGGAGAGGGGTAGGAGTAGGGTTAGAGTGGTGCAAGAGCTAATATCTCAACTGCTGAAATAAGAAGTCAATGTTGTCTAAAATTGATCAGTCAAGTAATATTGTTGTTGTTATTATTTGCCATCGAGTCACCCCGACTCATAGCGACCCCTCCTTGGGTTTCTGAGGCAGTATCACTACAGAAGTAGGATTGCCCAACCTTCCT